GACTGAATTTACTCAGTACTTGGACTCGTGCACTTGAGGAATCTCGATCACATGCACGAAGATTTCGCTGGCACCAGGCAGAATATATCGGCTTACATATCAGATTTCGTAAACCCTCAACGGTCGTCATATCTTAATTAGCGGCCCACCTGTCTCGGAGTCCATCCGGAGGGCCAGCGCAGTAACAGCGCCTATGTCTGCTTGCCGTATGGCAAGCCCCAGCGAGAGTCTCTCGCTGGGGCTTGCCGAGAGTGCTACGCCATCAGAAGTGCGAATGCATGGTATGATCCGCATCCAACGTTGCACCACTTCGCACAGGCGGTGAGGAGAGAGCCTCCTCAAGATCTCCAACTCCACTGCATCAACAGGAAACTGCCATTTCCTGATAATGTCGTCCAGGGCCTCCAGAATTTGACGTCTCTTGATGCCTGATCGATCCCCCGGCGGTCTCCCTCGACCGCGGCCAGACGTCTTGCTAGCCATTTATCGGTATGGGCAGTCGGGACAACTTACACAAGGAAAACCCGCTGTGTGCATGCGTGCATTTCGCGGGTGCAACTTGCACCGTGCAAGTAGGAAAATTCTGGGCGCGCGCTGCAGCTGCCAAGATTTCCGGGACCGGAACATGTCGAAAGCAGTGAGACTATTGATCGGGCGGAAACTGATGACAAACGAGCATGGTTAAATCCCGGCAGAGTCATTTTGAATTGTAAGGATCGATGGTCGTGGACTCCAAGATTCGGAGGCAAGGGCGCAAACCTCCAGGCAAACCTCCAGATCTTAGAGAATCTCTCAGAAAGGTGTTCAGGAGATTAGCACGGAGTTTAAGCCGAGCAAGCGCGGCCGTATCCTCAGAGTTCTAGACTACTCATCGTGACATGATGGCGGGCCGCAGGCCCGCTTCGGGGCTTGATAAAGCCCATTACAGCCGAGTGTCCACATCTGGCCCGCACATTGTCCGCATTTGGACCACCGGCCATCGTGACACATGCAAAAGATCCGATTTAAACATGGGGATTAATCTTGATTCTGTACCGGTCGAAATTGAAGTCTTCCATTCAAATAATAGCTAGGCAACTGAGTAGCCGCTACTCTTCCTCAGCATGCCTCGAGTAAGATGCGAAGTACTCTGTCTAGAGCCCAAGTTTGGTTATCGACCATGGGCCCGTTCACACTGGGCAAATGATCTCAACTATGCCAGGCCACCTAAAGGACAATCATTCTGCACTCCATGATTATGTCATCGAATTTGCTCTAACTTACGTGAATAGCCTTTTCCCGTCAATTTTTGAAACCTTCCGAAACTTACGTAGAATTTCTCCCGGAACCACTTTTCCGACACCCTGAGCTCATGTGCTCCGCGCAAAGAGGGCTGTTCACGCACGAGTCGCGCGGTGCGACTTGTTTCAGCGAAATGCAACCAACTTGATTATAACAACTCATGCTATTCGAGTCAGCATTGGACGTCTAACAATGTTAGGATTCCCTAATCAACCAATGTTAAACTAGCATTGGCAGATCGTCTTGCAGTCAAGTTTCCTCACCAATCTAGAAAATGCGATCACAGTCCGATCGCTCGACTGGACCAGTGAGACCGAGAATTGAGAACAAGAACGAGAATCATGATCGCGTCGGCGACTCGGACCA